ACGTGTCAAATTGTTATTGTGTTTACATAATAAAAGAGCGGCGTCTGTGGCCAAGTGGTTAAGGCCGTTCACTTTTAATAACTATTCCATCACCGCTTTGGGTCGAATCCCGCCGCTGAATTTTGATTATTTGATATGAGGAAGCTAGCTTACGGGACGTCTTTGGTTCTGCTCACGTCCCTTTTCCTGCCTGAAATAAAGTAAAGAGGGGCACAACCTGAGGTTTTCCCCTACAATAAATCTGGAAAGATTCCATATGACCTCTACTGTGTTGGTAGTTTGGTATGACGTAAAATCGTACAACTATCAGGAAAGGTTGTCTTTGAAATTGTACGCCAAGATTTGAAATACATAATGTTTGTTCTAGATGTATTTGAACTTATGTTTGATCGTTACTTTGAAGAGCAATATAATGTGGAAGTGAAAACACGTATACATGTAGTTTATTTTTATGGATTGTAGATCATGTTTAACGTCAATTTTAAACGGTAAACATGTAAACTGTAAAACATATGCTTTTTTGATTTCTGCTGATAAATTGATACATAATAAACGTTAATCCCCAGACTTCTATCGGGAGTCTGCCGCTTATGGTTTATCAAATGAGACAAAACTGAAAATATCTTTAAAGCTAATAGATTTTAATGCTGATAAAAACAGCTTTTGACTTGTTGATAAAATACTATCTTAGAGTAAATTTTTAATCTATTGTGTTCATGCAGTTAGAAAAAACGATGACTTTATCTTTCGTTTATCTTGTCAAAACATAATCATAGCTATGTGAGGGGTAAAAATACCAACTTCGGTCAGGAGAATAGTGTAATTTACGGTCCTTTCGAGTAGTCTATCATCTCTAGGGATTTACGTTGTGACAGCAAATTAATTTAGTTTATTCATCTTCATATCAAATTATTGAAGTTAAACACTGATTATTACGACTTTGTTTAATATCATTTTAAACAATAAAAAAATCATGTTTGGGTATAAGTTATTATAATAATACATGTTTTATAACATAAAATGACATTAAAGGTTACATTGCAACTGAGTATGCAGTAAGTGTTGGAAAAGGAACCAGAGACAATCTATTGACATTAAAGAGGGTGCTTTTCGTAAACGTTTGGCCAGAAGTGATCGTTGCAAATCCCAAAAGTATAGAACATGTTAGAGCTAAAACGACAAGTGGAGCAACATTCAAGTTTTAGTTCAGTAATTTACTTGTTACTCTCAGAAAGAATGATTTACTTGACAAACCACATAAAGCATACCCCCTCACATTTTTTCATGTTCAACTGGTCAACCTGCTGTGACTACTGGGACAAGTAAAAGTATAACTTTTTAGGTTGTGGTAGTGCTGGTGGAATTGCTATTCCACCGTGTTTTGTTTTTCCGGGTAAGCGTATGCTGCCAGAGCTACTTGAAGGTTCTTCACCAGGTGCAAGTGGCACTGTAAGTGATTCAAGTTGGTCTAACAGTGTAATATTTAGGACTTACCTTGAACAGCCTTTCATTAAGAACTTACCTGGTAGTACTGCAGAGCCTGTTTTCTTCTCTTTGATGGCCACAAGTCTCATGTCTCTGTAGACTTGGTAAAATGGGGAAAGAGTCATAATATTATAATAGTTGTTCTTCCAGCCCACACTTCACATACAGTCACTAGATGTAGCCTTTTTTGGCCCATTCCACAATGAGTGTCATAAATTAATGCGCATGAATTCTACCAATATAACAAGGTATTATGTATGTCAACCGGCATGTAGGGCTTGTACAAAATCATTTGTCAGTGAAAATCAGGGAAGATAATTGGAAAATGTAAAACATGACATTTTGGTGTGATCTGCTCCACTAATGTTTTAGGTCTATGGTCTCGAATCAGCTTCAGGTGCGAATTTATGTTGCTCAAAAAAGCAAAAATTAGGAATACCTTGAGTAGAATTGTCCAAGGGAAGAATTTTCAGCTCAGTCTATTCTAGACTCTATGAAGCGACATGAAATGAATCAGAAAGGTAAAAAAAATCAAGTAAATATTAAAAAAGTGACCAATATGCTCAGACTGATAATGAACCTCAGCCTGGACCCTCCCACATCACAGTAAATGCTAGTCTATCTTCAGACTCTGATACAGAAACAATTATTGACAGTGAAGTCTGCTGTGTTTATAGTAAATAAGAGCATGTTAGCCTGGCTCAAAAGAAATCTGTAACATTTGTTCAGTGGGCACAATGTAAGGGTATCAAAAACCAAGTCCAACTAAGCACTGGACACATCAGGGATTCTCTACCATTAAAAAAAGTGATGATAAAACATAAAAATTCTTCTGTCCTCACTGCTCTTCTAGACATGAAGAGTAATTGACTGATCTATGAAACATACAATAAAATTGATAGTTACTATTATTTAGTTAAATTTAACAACTGTTGTAATTTGTTTACAAACACACTAAACAACACTAAATTAGTGTACTTTGGCCTATCAAGGGAGACTACTCTACACAATCACAAAGTGAGGGGGGGGGGAATTTGAATTCAATTGTGTATGTTTTGAAAAATGCTGCTTGTTAATAATTGGACTAGATTGAAAAAGGGGCGTCCGTGACCGAGTGGTTAAGGTCGTTGACTTCAAACCACTTGTCCTCACAGCTGTACGTGGGTTCGAATCCCGACAGGGATATTGTTTCATGCGAAGACTCTATCCAGCTAGCTTACGGAACGTCGGTGGTTCTACTCAGGTGGCCGTTCGTGCCTGAAATAATGAACGGAAAGGCACCTGAGGTCTTCCTCCACCAGTAAAGCTTGAACGTCGCCAAATGACCTATACTGTGCGGTGTGACGTTAAACTCTAATCAAACAAACATACAATCAGATTGAAGAAAATACATTATTTTAACAGGTTAGTGCATAAGTTTGATTATATATCTGTCATTTAATTATTTATTTCTCTTTATGCGCTTAAGGTCACGAACTTCCGATGGGCTAGGATATATTTTGACGTGACGTTCTTTACATACTATAAACATAGCGTTTAGACGCGCTAAATATTAGGGTCACTACATGCGCGCATATGAAAAATGGTTCTTTTTCATTTCAGAAGATCTTCTTTTTTTTGGTATGTGATAAATAGAATATTAAATTCGTGTAAGTTCATTACTAAATTTATTGAACTTGTTGAATAAAATAATATCATGCTAGCCAGAGGCTCGCATAATATAATTTTATTCAACTCGTTCAAAACTTACACTAATTCAATATTCTCTAAAAATGATATTACACTACCGTATTAACACTTTGACGTGACGTCATTTGCGTTATGCCAATGTTAACAATACATTATAGCCGCTCAAATGACAAATGGCTCTTTTGAAAATAATCTTTATTCAACTCTTAAACCTATACTCATTCAATATCCTCCATTTACATACGTTTGAGAAATGGTTCAGATGAGAAATAGTACTAGTTGGAGGTCATGACACTTCATCAACATGGATCATTAGTGGTCTTACGTGAAGATATCAAACCCAATCAATGATAATTGACAACTTGTGAAATACCCAGTTAACTTTTGTCAATATAAAATCAATCAATCGTCCTTTGTTTTATCCAAATCGACACTTTGATCCCAAACAACTTATTTTATTATATTTGTTATTCCTTCAACAACGAAATGAAAGATTAAAAAGAAGTGTTTGTAAAACAACTTGTTAACAGTCAAATTTTTATGGTTATAGAGGTATATTTGACTGGCCAAAAGAGGTACAGTCAAGTTCACTGTAAAAATGAAAAATGGTTTCATATTAAAATACAATACAGAAATCAGACTATAATTATTAAACAATATCAACATATTTATTGCATGTAATTTGCTTACTGTATAGAAAGAAAGTACATTTTTAATTAATGTATATGAGTATATAAATAACACATGGGTTTGTGGGTAACAGTAAAAATATCATCCCGAGGAAAATTCTGTTACCCGAGGCGTTATTTTAATACCCCGAACAAAAATACCGTGATTATCTGAAATTGTCAACTAAATCTAACTGTAACAAAAATAAACCAAGAATTACAATAACTACATGTAAACTGTCCTTAAAATACCTTTAAAGTTTTGAGTGTACTTTACTGCAGTAGGCCTACTTGAGAAGTTTTCTTTTCTTTTATTCTTTAAGCAAGTGATGATATCTACAAATCATAAACATACAGTAAGCAAGGTTTTATTTAGAAAACAAAACACTAACCCATTTACACGGTTATGATCTGTGAAATCTGATCCATTTATCAATTACTATTAAGAAACGAATTGCTGGTTGATGGTATAATTAAGTCAACAGTAATTTAATAAAAAATTATCGTCAAATATTTATAAGCTTGTATATGAAGATTTTGTAAGAAATGGTAAAGAGTACAAATGGTTGATAAATGTTGAGAGTATTTTTGACGAACAGGTATGTGTTATATTTGGTTTAATCAGAAGTTTACTGATTCTAAATGCTTATTGTTAAAAACCCTTAATATATCAATGTGTAACCAATATGTACAATCAAAGCACAGAAGGCGCTGAATTTGTTTGGGATTATAAACCAATTTGTTTTTGTATAATGCCACCAATGCTTTCCAGCGTTTTAATTGTAGTAAAATGGCTATAAGACAATATAATTGCAACACTGATATTCAATTCAATTTATATTTCACTTAAACAATTTGAAAAAAAAATGAGTTGCCTTAACTGGGATTTCAACTCCAGACCTCTCGCTTCGGAAGCAAGCGCGCAAACCCCTCGGCCACGGTGAAATTATATCTTTACGTCCTGAAGAAAACCATATTATTCTAAATTAGGGTTTGTAACTCTTATTATTTCGACGCTAACTGTTGTTTAACACAGGTTTAAATAATTATGGAGCTTACTATAAGCATGTGAATCTATAAAGAGTAAAACAATATTAGAAATCTTCGAACATTCGGGGCCTATTTTGCTTGAAATTTTATGCGCCTGTCATTTGACCATCTTTACGCAGTGATCTCCCCTGAATTTTTTCGGCGTTAGTGTACATATAAAGGGAAGTAAACGCTTCAAAAAAGCGGACTACTTTCGGCAATTGCAATTAACAGCATCAGGGTCTGAAATTTCGGTGAAAACACTTTTTTGTTTGTCAGTGGGAGGATATTGTTCGAACCCTACACAACGCATGTGTTATCATGATACTTGGTATCTAATAAAACAAAATGCACAAAAGTGCATGATGTGTGTTAAATTATATTCCAAAATTATTCTAAAAGTAGAAGGGACATTAACAACAAAATTGATATGTTCTAAGTCAGTTTAGTCTTAGAAATCTTTCTCGGCAGTGAAGTAAGAAAACCGATATTGGTGTTTCTCTTCTATCTTGTCAAGTACACACATATAAAGGAGGATTGAGAGTGGAATAAAACTACCATTTCTGGCTGAGGTTTGTCTGTCTTTAATGTGGCTTTGAATATGTACAGTTTAATCACAGTATTCAATGAATTTACACAAAATATGGCGTTGTTTATATAAATGTTGATAGAAGTGTGAATTACTCAGCTACATTTGTTTTATGTTTATCTTATATTTATAAATATTAGAACATTTTCCGATAGAGGAGCTTTTACTTTTAGATGAAGAATTAGAAATTCTAGAATATAATACAGTTGAATTGTGTTTAAAAGAAAGGGAATGCAATATTATAAAAACAAAAATGTGGACATAGCTTTATGATTATAAAATACGACGTTCACTGTTTTATCATTAGAAAGCATTACAAAATAATTTGAAACTTAACTAATAACAGTCAGTGCTGTGATAAATACAAGTCTTGTTATATTCACAGTTTGCCGATAATTTGAAAGCTATAATTTTTTAAATTATATTAGTTTTATCTGTGCTGGCATGTTGATTTAGTAACTTAATGTCCTCACATACGATGTTTACCTAAACTACAGATATATATTGTCGAGTTAAGTTTAATACTTCATCAGACTGATTTTACATGACTTGATAGTTTGTGTGTAATACTGTTCAAAGTTTAGAAACAATTTAAATATTGACATATTAACACATTTTCTTAAAATTTAGTCTTACATTTGATTTGCAGATATATTGTGTCTAATAACATTGCTGAACATATATATTTTAATTATTTAATCTATTTTGATTTACAAACACGAATCCGGGTGTGTTTTAAACAATGTAAACAATGTATACAGTAATTATATGATTTAAACATACGCTTCAACTAAGCATTTACCGAAATGAAAACGTAAACAAAAGCTTTGCAAATGAAAATTCTGTTCCGAAAAGAAAAAGATTGCTAGACACTGCAGTTTGTTGGACATCTGTGAATCACATATCTGGATAAAGACAGAAAACAACGTCGAATGATGCATTATAAATCGATGGAGACACATTAACAATAAACTTGACAAACTTCAGCTTTATGAATACACATCTGGACACTGCCAATATAAGTGAACTGAAAAAGATGCTCCCGGATATTAATAAAACAAAAGCGACAGATTGGGAATTTCAATTTGATAACATCGAAGTTGGAAACGAAACTCAGAGGAGAGTTCAGTCAAAATATCCTCCAAGATTAAAACAATTACTTCAAGGTCTCAAAAAGGACTGCTTTGATAAAGTAAACACAGAATCTGCATATAACATAGGTAAGCTTTTGAATACTACTCCAAAAAATGTTACCAAAGACAGTCAGATCCTACAAGCATTACATTTAATATAACATGAATTTGGAAATTGTGAAGAGATACTATTGATAGTAAATGTTAACATATGGAAAATATAGATTGCATTTGTCAACATGATCTTAAATATGGCGTCAATATTGGTGTCAAAATTGATGTAAGTTATATGAAGATTTAACAGTTTGTTTGTCGTGAATAAACAAAATGCGTACGTATTTTGATTCTGTAAGTGAATGGTACAAATGTAACTTTGATCTAATCGACTTTAAAACAAACATTCGATTCTTTAACGTAAGAAACAAGTTAGATTTTTTTAGAATTCAATGTTTAAATGCTGTCTTTTCTTTAAGATATTATATTATAAGATAAAATCTACTGACAAGTACTGTTCAAAACATACCGGAAGATATATTTTCTCCGCATTAGCAATCTGCGTAGACTACTCAAAATTGTAATAGTCGTTCAAAAACAATGGTGCAAAAGTTGTCGGAACAAAGTATCATTTAACACTGACAGGATTTCAAGATTTGATTGAAAAAATATTTTTGTCACAAAAAGTGTGGAATATGCAAAAAAAATATTTCTAAAATAACTCTGATTCGTGAGAATTGTTGTCTCTGTAATGCATTGATAACTTTACTGTTTACACGTGTTTTGATTCATATATCTTCTCATCTTACAATCAAATTATCGATCTGTCAAACACTATTACCTTATCAAAGGAGATCGAATTATTTCGAATAATTACAATACAATAAAAGTTTATCCAGCATTAAACATTTGACAATGTTTTAGCATACAAAGTAAACATATACAACGCGAACATTGTTTAAAGAAGAGTACATGATTGTCAATAATGATCAATACTTAATTGATGGTTTCTAGTTACGCAACTGAAATATCAGAATTTATTAAAACGCCATTATGATATCAGATACACTTAATGAAATTAATAAGCATGCAAATGTTTAGAAATAGTGTCCGTTTTTTAAGCAACAGTCTGCTCTAATGTGAATATTGAAGTCAATCTTAAAGGAATTGCCAACAAATATTTGTTTTAAAACAAATATTCCTTAATAAACAGTAAAAAATCTTTGCAGGAACGGTTTTGATTTTATTTGTGAAATTGGCGGCCTAACGTTGGCTAAACTTTTAAAGTTTCAGATATTTTGCAAAAACAACTGTTTGTTTGATTTGACGGCGCACCAACACAATTTAGGCCATATATGGCGCCGAAACAGGAAAGATCATTTTGGCTAACCTTGGGGTACTACATACTTAAAACAACACCAGGAGTCACCTTTAATAATTTTTTAATTGATTTTTTGTCCGTATATGTGTTTTACATGACCAGATATATCTAACATAACTTCATTAAAAGTTTTTTCAAAATTTTATACATAAACTTTACAACTTAAAATGTTTAGACTTCTGTGCAACTTAGCCGCAAACTTCACGCCGCTAGGCCGCCAACTTCACACATCTCAATAACAAAATGACTCATAGAATCTACTGTTTTAAATGAGTACTGACAATTTTTAAATTTGCCGTTGAAAACTTATCAGATTAAGTTGATTTATCGAACAAAATGTCTAAAGATTGAGATAATGGAAATTGTGAACGTCGCTTTATATTGTTCGTTTATGTTCTCAATTTTTAACAATCTTAAATTTCAAACTGGTCAGATAAAACAAATGTGGCAGTAAACAAAGCGTTTTTTTTTTAAAAAATCAAATTAATTTAAATTTTTAGTTCAAATATTGTGACAACGTGAGCAAACTATTTCATCATGCTGAATTATAGCATTGAACATAAAATAGTTGAAAATATCTGAAAAATGTCTTGTTGTTTGAACAGCAACTTCAGCTTTAAATTAAAAAGATATTAAATGTTTACTCAATCAAACATGTGACATACGCTCGTATCAGATGTTACTAAATCAAACATCAAACCTACTTAACAATGTCATCTGCTTAGAGTAAGGTTTAGATATTTGTTCTTCTAATAGTTCTGTTACTGTTCACTTAAGTATTTGATCCACATTTTGAAAGTTATTGTTATCATTAAGGATGATACCATACTCTATATAATACATGTATTCATATTCTACATGATAAACCATATTCTACGTGATATATTTTGTACCATATTACATATGGTACACCATACTCTACATGATGCATCATATTCTACATGATATATATGGTACTATATTCTACACAATAGACATAATTATTTTATATGATATACCATATTCTACATGATACACCATATTCTACATGATATACTTTATTCTACATAATAAACCATATTCTACCTGATACTCCCGGTACCATATTCTACATGACACACCATATTCTATATGATATACTTTATTCTACATAATAAACCACATTCTACGTGATACTCCCGGTACCATATTCTACACGATATATCACATTTCACAAGGTACACGATATATCTGGTATATATATACAAGGTAGTCTAGTACTGGTGTAACTCTCCAGGAACGATGGTTAGGAAACTACCCGCCTATATGACTGAAATACTGTTGGGAAAAGGCGTAAAATAAAACAAACAAACAAAATATATATATATATATATATATATATATATATATATATATATATATATATATATATATATATATATATATATATATATATTATATGTTCTACATGATATACCATGTTCTACATGATACACTATATTCTACAAAATATACCATATTCTATGCATAATATACTTTATACTACATAATTAACCATATTCTACATGATATACCCTGTATTATATTCTATATGATCAAGATGAACCATATTCTACACGATAGCGTTTTTTAAAAATATGTTATTCGCATAACGACTAGATCAGTGCAATATGAAAAAATATAGATATTTCTAACATGTTTTGTCAAAACAGAACTAGTGCGGAATTCAGTGACGAATAAATTTTGTATAATATATAGAAATTCAAGTTATTAAATAGTTCACAAGAATCATTTGATTGTTTCACAATGTATTTGATTTTGTCTTCATGATAATTAAATATGCTAAAAGCAAAATTGCATCAGACAGAAGGCATCTTTTAACGGAATTTGTTTACCTTTTAGATCGAGATAATGACAATGCTAATGTATACAAGTATTGATTCGTTTAGTGAAATGTTTCATAAAACGTTTTCATATTTAGAATCAATATAACTGAATTGTATTATTCGAACTTAAAGCAATAATCAATAAGAACTATCGCTGAATGCGATTCATACCCCCATCAATGTCCTTGACAGAACATTTTCTAAGTCTAAAATGGGCATAACTTGTGTCATAATTCAATGGAATTGTATAATTTTTGTCATCTAAGCTTGCTTGTAACCATTCGTATAAATTTTAAGTTTCAAGTAAATATCTGTTCTGGTTTAAGAAATAATATAGTAAATAAATTTAAAGACATAAATATGGACTTAACTTTGTCAAAATAAATACAAAGTTCTCCCCCCCCCCCCTACTTTTTTTAGTTATGAAACTTGACCAGCATATATTACTTGCGACACTTCGTATAAGTCAAATGATTATCTGTTCTAGTTTTAGAAATATTCAAGTACATGTTAAAATTTAAGAACATTTTCTAAGTCAATTTTTGAACTTCAAGTGTGACCTTGACCTTAAGCCGACAAAAGGGTGACATGGGTTCTGCACATCCCCTTGTTGAGGTGAACATTTGAGCCAAGATTGAAGAAAATATTTCAATTAGTGTACGACTTACTGAGCGGACATGACATACTGTCTAAATTTGATTGTTTGATATTTGACCTTCAATTGTGACATTGACCTTGAGATGACACATGGGCAACATGGGTTCTGCACATCCCCTTGTTGAGGTGAACATTTGAGCCAAGATTGAAGAAAATATTTCAATTAGTGTAGGACTTACAGAGCGGACATGCCTTACTGTCTAATATTTGATTGTTTGATATTTGACCTTCAATTGTGACCTTGACTTTGAGCTGACACATGGGCAACATGAGTTCTGCACATCCCCCCTGTTGACCTGTTGAGGTGAACATTTGAGCCAAGTTTTAAGAAAATCTTTCAATTAGTGTAGGACTTACAGAGCGGACACGACATACTGTCTAATATTGGATTGTTTGATATTTGGCCTTTAATTGTGACCTTTACCTTGAGCTGACACATTGGCAACATAGGTTCTGCACTATGGAGGCTATTTGTTGCCAAAAATCCAGCCTTTGAAACTTGACAATGCATATTTCGGGTTCTACTAAACAGATTAGTAAAAATCTAAGTGTCGATACTGCACTTGTATTAAGCATTTTGATTATCTCGATTTCATAAATTGGAAGCTGTAAACATGAAACTTAGATAAATTGCAAACTGTATTTATAAATGTATCTATAACTTCAAATTTGCGACATGTAGAAATGTAAACGATAGAACGTACACAATACGTTTAATGCTGTGCATCATGACGTTGAGAATGTAACTGCGTCAACTTGACACACTCAGGTTTACATTTGTAAACGATTTTGCAACTTCCATATATGGCATTATCACGGAAATAGACGAAAATTAAAAGGCGGAGCCAATTTTCGCGAAAGCAGAATATAAAGAGAGGTAACTCTTGCTGAAACAAAAATATCTCACAAACATCAACTGCATTTCTGTTGCTATTGAACAACCTCTGATTTTGTTAAAACGTATTCTAGGTCAGGATATTCAAGTAATGCAAAATTGGTATAAGATATAATGTAACAATGTAACAACGTGTATACTGATAATGAGCAAAATAATATGCAAAAACTAAAGTTGGTTGATTAACATAAGGGAATGTTTTCCATATACAATGCACAATTACAATGAACGATAGGGTGTGTGTGCCTTCAAACGTAGTTACACAATAATACTCAAGCGCATATATTTTTACATTCAGCAATAGTACTATCTAGAA